ACCCATACAGAACGGGCTACACATAATCAACAAATAGTAACAAACAGTAACATGGTATCTTCACAGTTTAAAAGGATTTATAACAGGCTTTCTGTCTCAGACACTCTACAACATAAAATAATACAGCCTGGCTTCAAACTGATTCTCAAAAGTAAGGTCACTTAAATAGTTCTAAAGTAGATATAAAATACACCATAACAAAAACAAGCCCAAATATCATTACTCCAGATATGTTTTTACTTTCTACTAGCCAGACAATATTTTCATTTAATCAAGCAAGATTTACATGCAGTGAAGAAACCTTAGTAACTATCCCATCGAATTTACTTTACAGATGGAAAAAACGATGGCCCACAGGTGAACAGTTTTCCATAAAACCATAAAGCTAGCAATAAGTAGCAAAACTGGTAAGGTAATGCAAAATCCATGGGCTTCAGAGGGGGCAAAATCCTAAAGTAAAATTCAGCCTTTACTAATTACTAGTTGAATGAGCAGACTAAGTTATTTAACCACTAAGATTGTTTCTTCAATTTTATTTATTTATTTTGTTTTTTTTTGAGATAGGGTCTAACTCTGTTGCCCCAGCTAGGGTGTTGTGGCATCATCATAGCTCACTGCAACCTCAAACTCCTGGGCTCAAGAGATCCTCCTGCCTCAGACTCCTGAATAGCTGGGACTACAGGCACACACCACCAAGCCCAGTTAATTTTTGTATTTTTTTGTAGAGACAGGGTCTCTCTCTTGCTTAGGCTGGTCTTGAACTCCTGACCTCAAGCAATCCTAGCGCCTTGGCCTCCCAAAGTGCTAGGATACAGGTGTGCGCCACCATGCCTGGCCTGTTTCCTCAACTTAAATGAAGGGTAATACTTGTCTTACAGGGCTCTTGCAAGGGTTAAAAGAAATCATGTATGCATGTAGTAAGGAACTCATTAAATTCTCTTTTCCTTCCTCTCCCAGCTCTCAATGCAATAATCTTTCTACACCAAGTCAATCTTCCCAATGCCAGTTAATAAATTTTTATAGGTATTCAGAGAAATGAGAAAAACAAGGAAAACTGATCATAAAGCTACATTTCATGCGATTTTTAAAAAATAATCTATTCAGAATATTCTCAGCTTCTTTCCTTTTAAGGATTTTTATTATAAAATATCCTTTCTTTATAAAGTGATAAAGTAGATGACACTTTTAGGACATTTAACTGGAAAACTTGGGCACTCCTTAAAGCTCCACCACAGGAGTGTTTTATAACCGGTTGATATATAAACCTGGGAATCTCCACACTGTGTCTTTACAGACACCACCTACTTTGTTCTCAGAAATCAATTCAAAGAGACCACTCCCGACACTTTAATGTAGAGATGACCAGATATAACTTCCTTTGCTCTATTTCCTATTTAGAGTTCCATCCTAGCACAGATGTTATTACACATTAGATTGTAAACTCCTTAAGAACAGGTACCACAACTCACATTGCAAACACAAGGTACTACACGGCAGACAGTAGAAGCTCCATGCTGACAGAATTAATGGAGTAAAGCTTTGAGGACTGGAGGAAAGACTGAGAAATTCAAGTAAAATAGAAAAGGAATGTCATTCAACGCAAATTTTCACTAAAATCATCCTAGTTTGGAAGGCCAGTGAATTAGCAAAAAAGATTTCTTAGCAGATTATCACCTAAAAAATCAGAAACTACTATGGATTCAAACACAAAAAATTTAAAACTAGGAGTCCTAATACTGACTTGGATTTCCATCTGGATCTATCACTAACTGCTTAAATAACCTTGGCCTACCTAATCGAGGCCTACAAATCCCCAACTATAAAACACAAATTCCCCCTGCCTTTACCTACTTCAAAAGATTGTTTGGATAACAAAGGTGAAAAAACCTTTTACAAACATAAGAGGAAATCCATGAGCAAAGTATTAAATTACGTATTATACAACAATATTTAAAACAACCTAAGACACGGTATTTGTCAGGTTTTGAAAATTCATCGTGCTCTTTTCTCATGCTAAAATTCACTTTGATACCTAAAAAAGTTTTTAAATGGTCTAAGCAAATAAATTATTCTAAGTAAAATGATTTAAGCATATAAATGATTGATTTAAGTAAACAAATGCTCCTAAAATATACTGCATTTGAAAAGTTGAATACTGGAAATAAAACTGACTTCTTTTTAGTAACTGGGCATTCAGAGCCAAAATTTGGAATACAGTACAGTGAAATAGTTGGGTTGGATATCCTCGGCCTATACAACCAAAGGATGGTGATGGCAAACTTGAGGTGACAAATGAACAAAAATAAACAAGGCACTCTTCCTTTAATTCCTCTAAGACTATTCAGCCATTACAAAATACTTATTTTTCCACTCTGGTTCCCAAAGGGCATCCTACGAGATATTTTCATTGGTTATTAGCATCAAGAAGAAATCCAGATGTAAAATTACTATGCAGTTTTTTTTTTCTAAATCACCTTAGTCACAGATCAGAAAACTGGACTTTTTTTTTTTTTTTGAGACAGAGTCTTGCTCTGTTGCCCGGGCCAGAGTGCCGTAGTGTCAGCCTAGCTCACAGCAACCTCAAACTCCTGGGCTCAAGCAATCCTTCTGCCTCAGCCTCCTAAGTAGCTGGGACTACAGGCATGCACCACCATGTCCGGCTAATTTTTTCTCTATATTTTTAGTTGTCCAGCTAATTTCTTTCTATTTTTAGTAGAGACAGGGTCTTACTCTTGCTCAGGCTGGTCTTGAACTCCTGACCTTGAGCAATCCTTCTGCCTTGGCCTCCCAGAGTGCTAGGATTACAGGCATGAGCCACCACACCCAGCCAGAAAATTTGACTTTTAATCTTCTTGATGAATATGTACAATCTCATTAACTATATCTAATTAATTCAAAATTAGTGATAATTTTTGACTTACACTATGTTAAACTGAAAATGCTTTATTAAACTAGTTATGCAAGAGAGGACATTTGACTACTGTAACGAATTTTATTTGACTCAGTTGTTTTCTAAAAAGCAACTATATTTTCAGAACTTGTTCAAACATTCTCAATCACCAGCAAAAGAAGCACAAAAATAGTGACCGACTTCTTGAAAATTTTAAAATAAGGCTAGTTAGCCTATTACACAAATAAAATTGTGATTCTTTATTTTGGGGTCAAAATCATTTGGAAATTTGATGAAGGCTACAAACCGCCTAGGAAAATATACACAAAATTTTCCAACATAGTTTCAGGTGATCTCTAGACTACCTCTTCACAGTAAAAGTTGGAGAGAAAACCTTGGATTCCACTAGTCCCTAATATGTTCCGTTTCTGATTTTGAGAGAATAAAATGCACCGCGTCCCCCCCACCCCCATTTCTTCTTTTCTGCAACTAAAGGATATTGTCAGAATGAGCTAAATACAAAAGCCAGAGGGGTAAAAACACTACAATAGAGTTAACTGGAAAATTCACAGTTATATACTTCTGCTTAATGGCTTAAGCCTTAACTATTCCTTAAGCTTCTCCTAGGTAAGTGGTTCTCACCCTTGGCTGCAAACTGCACTCACCTGGAGACCTTTAACTTATACTTGATGTCTGGGTTCCACTTAGAGATCCTAGTTGTACTGATTTGGGCATCAGGTTTTTAACAGTTTTGGGGTTAATTCTAATAAGCAACCAAGGTTGCAAATCACTGTCCTAGACAGTCCCATTCAAGCTATATCTGAATAGGGTATTTTAAATTTTCAAAATGGTGGAAGGGAGAAGACGGTTGTGGGGCAGGTGTGCTAAGATCTGAAACTCAACCTCACTGCTTTAAATTGCTGGTCTTGAGTGTGGCCTAGCAGTGAACATCGTGAGCATCCTCTACCCACCTGGCTGGGCTATAAGGCAAGCCCTCTTTTCTGTCCACAATGGTTCTGCTTAATGCTATGTAATTTCTGCAAATTCATAAAAGTTGATTTCTATGCTTAAACAACAGCCACTTAAATGCTTTTTATTTGATTCCTTTCTACAAGAAATAGGCCTGCCTTAATTTTGCAGCATATCCACATGACTTTCCCCAACATAAACTGTCAAATATGTGGAATTTTAATATTGTTTTAAAGTCATTAGCAAAAGGCCCTGAACTATCGCCACGAACGTGTTTTTTTCAGCTTAAGCTGCGCTAATTAAGAGTCCAAAATGGTTCTCACAATTAAACCAACTTTTCCCGAGGCCCTTTCATTCACGCCCATGTAAAGAATTCCAACAGAGAATAGCCGTCTTACAAAAAAATCTACATCCAGTAAATGCTCGCGGAAATAAAAGTTCCAAGGAAAAAGATACCCGTATATGAAGAGTGAAGGTTCTTTAGTTCCTAAGCCTGGTTTTCCTCCCAAATCAAACCGGTGAAAAACCTGGGGTAAAATGAGCAGGGGGTAGTTGGGAGAAGCTCCTCTTTCAGCCAGGAAGCCAGCTAGAGGTTCAGAGGAAGGATGGATGGGTGTTTGCACAGAGACTCAGAGAGCCCCAAAGCAGGCCGGAGGGGAGGGAGTGACGAGGGGCGAGGACAACTGCAGACACGGCCTACTCTCTGCGGATGGGAACCCCATCGCAGGTGGCCGACCCAAGGTCCCCAAGCTTCGTGGGCAGGGAAGGGACCCCTCTCCCTAAGGGGGAAGCAGCGGGAGGCCAGCGCTGCAGCGGGGGCTGGCCCCGAGGGCGGCCGGTGGCTAGGGCAGCGCCCCTCCTCCGCGCGCCAGGCCCTGGGGCAGGAGGAAGCTGCCAGGAAGAGGCTGCGCCGCCCGCCCCGAGGGCGCGTCCGAGCGGAGATGCGGACTCCCCGAGGGGCCCGCAGCGGCAGGGGAGGTGCGGGGGAGCGGCGCGGCGCTGACAGCTGCGCAGGCGGCTCCTCGCGCTGCGGCGGCCCCGGGGGCTGCGGGCGCCGCACGGGCCAGGCCGCCCTAGGGACCCGGCCCGCTCCTGCTCGCCGCCTGCGCCGCCCAGAGCAGCAGGCCCTGCGCTCCGTTACCTTGTCGCAGTAGAGCCCCACCAACTGCTTCATCCGCCAGTGTGGGGCGGTGAAGACGTCCACTTCTTCAGGGAAAGGCGCCATCGCGACTGCCTCAGCCTCCGCCTCAGCAGCCGCGGCCGCCGCCTCTCCATAGACACCCTCGCCGCGGGGCAGAGGCGGCGCGCCCCCACGCGCATGCGCCCGCCCCGTCGGCGCGCGCGCCCGGGCAGCCAAGACGCGGGTGCGCGCAAGCCACCGCCATGCGGTCCCCGCGGCGCACGTGACCAGGCGCGCGCGGAGGCGCGCGCCTTTTACCTCCCGCCTCTACTCTTTCCATTCCTTGTCCTGTTCGTGTCCTGCAAAAAGAAACCAAACCTTTTCCTTGTTTGTCTTGCCACATAAAAACACAATATGTGAAGGGAGAAGATGTCGTTTTAGTGACGCTTTCAGCTCTTCTCCCGGTTGCTGCTCTGCCCACCAGGCCTTGAGGCCGAGGTGACCAAGCACAATGGCCGCGGTAAGGGCCGTGAGCCCTGTCTGGGCGCCCAGGCCATGACGCCCTGTTGACTGGGGTGACTGCGCCGCCCTCTGCCTCCCTGCGGTTCGCCGGTGCCGGACTTTCGGCCGCCGGGCCGAGCTCAGACCACCCCGCCCGCTAGTCAAAGGCAGGGGCTTGACCCCCGCCCCAGCAGGTTGGGTGAACCGGGGCTGGGGAGCTCCAAGAACTTGAAATCCAAACGGAAAACGATGGCGCGCGGTGGGACCGGATACTAGGCGTCCCAGGCGCCAGCCCACGGCAGCCGCGGAGCCTGCGTGTGAGGGGCTGGGCAGAGATGCGAGGGAAAGGCCTCGTGGAATTCGGGAGACTCGGGGGAGGGAAAGACAGTATCTGGGAATTCAAGAGCGGAAATGCACCTCAAACGCAGGGACGCCAGGTGACGGAGAGGCCAGATGGGCCTTGGGGGGCGGGGGAAGAGTGAGTAATCTAGGAAGGTTAGTGCGGGAAAGAATCTTGGTGCAAATCCCTCCATTTTAAGGCGAGGCTCCGAGAGAAAGAAGAGGACTTAAAGGCACTACCCGGTAAAAGGTCAGTCTGTCTCTTACCTGTATGTCACCTGACCTGCGCCCCAGGCCCTCAGGAGACCCTGTTCTCCTCTCACCCTAATCAATTCTGCACTAGTTGGCTGGAGGACTGATGAACAGATAGAGAAATGGGAGAAAACCAGGAAGGCTGAGAACCTGGGGAGGATATGTTATTTGCTTAATGGCCATAAACTCCAGGAGGGCAAGAACCAGATAAGCTGTGTTCACTCTTGTATCTCTGGTATCTCTCACAGTTCCATGACAACACGGGAGCTCAATAAATATTGAACAAATAATGGAATAGAAGGAGGTGAGAAGAAACTTTGCAGTGGAATGCATCCCGTTTAGTTCTAATCTTACTATGTGCCATTTATTGACAGGCAGTGTGAGCGATGGTTAAATCCAGACTCTGGAGATGAAATTAGATTTTGCCAGATACTAGCTGTACAACCATGAGCTGCCTACATGACTTCTTAGTGCTTCCGTTTCCTCTTATATAAAATGAGGGTGCTAGGATTAACTATTTTCCAAAATAAATAAAATGGGGGTAATAATACCTACCTCATAGGATTTTTACGAGGATTAAGCAAGTTAATATATTTGAAGTGCTTATAATAGTACCTGGCACAAGTACTTACAGAATAATAAGTACTGTCTTTAAGCTATTAATACGAAATGAAACAACTCTGTGAGGTAGTGCTATAGGAAAGCCTTGAAGACCTTTGGGTAATGGCCTAGGGTCCCACAAATTAGTAAGTAAATAATCTGTCCATATAAATCTAGGTCTGACAGTACCCTCCCAGGCGCGACATTAGTTGGGATACATACATGGCTTATACACTGTCTGTCCTAAAGAAGTGGGAATAATGCTTAAGGGACAGAATAGTAAAGTCCTTGGTAGAGCAATCTCTTGTCTTCTTCCCTCCTTCTTACCCTGTTTCTCCTTTTTTCCTCTGCTCTTTCCTTAGGGCTTTACCTCTACATTTTTTAATAACTCCCAGCAGACATTTTCTTATTTACTCTGTATTTCTTTACTTTATTCTGATCTTTCATTCCAGCTATCTTGGAATGTAGAATCAGACCTTAGATGAACCAGTTATATAAAGAAATGAGCTCCACGAGAACAAGCACTTTGTTTTATCCTCAGCACTTAGAACAATGTCCATCATACAGTTAGTACTAAACAAATATTTGTTGAATAAAGAAGGAATGAGGAAAGTTCATGGCATTCTGTAATTTCCTTATTTTAACTATTAATACACCATGTTGTATTTCCCATTCACCTGTTTCTGTCTGTATTGTTCACTAGCATATCCCTAGAACCAGGTACATTAAAACGGTGTTTAGCAATAAAAAAGCCCATCCACACAAACAGTTTCACTGTAACCCGGATTTGAAGCTGTGTAGTCAGTTAAAGAATATTAACAGCCACTTTGGACCCTAGCCATCTCAAGGAATTTGTGTAAGATGACAAAATGAAAGAAATGAAGTGATAAAAAAATAAGCCCTGTGGGTCATTTTTCCCTTCAAAAGAAGCTGTTAACATTAGCTCCATATGCTGAGTAATGTAGCAATTAATCACCTGATATATACAGAATAAATGATTGACTTATATTGAACTTTAGCTCTAGAAAGAGGTCATTGATCAGTGTAGTATCATTACCATAGGTTACTGCAACTACAGCAGATAGGAATTGTTATTAAAGCCAAGGTTGTCATTTTAATCACCTCACTATATGACTTCCTCAGGTACATGACAGCAGACAATTCTAAGATATCTAGCCATTGGCCACCAAAAGGAGACTGGATAAGGCATGTGACCAGAACAGTGACAATCCACATCATATGGTGCCTGGTACAGTGGGTGTTTTCTCTTTCCCACTCTCATTCTCTCTGAAAAACTTGATGCTGCAAGGGGAAAAAAATAAAATCATTCTTTGGCAACCTAAAAATCCAATGACACTAGGCCTCTTCTATAGTATTTTCCAACCCTAGTTTTGAAGACCCTGGAAAGGGTTTCTGGTCAGGGAAGGTCAATTTTAAGGCATTGTACTCTATTTATGTACTCTATTTATTTGAATATGTGACACAGCACTTTCCCCAGTAGGAGCTTAGTTGTGAAAAACAAGCAATGAAAGACTGTTTCAATTGCAAGACAATTGGAATCATAGTCCTAAATCAATACCAGGGTTGATACTCGTTGTCGGTCAATATAGCCAATCAACAATTGCTGTGGCAGGCTTAGACGATTTAGTGGTTGCTATGATTTGAATGTTTGTCCCCTCCAAAACTAATGCTGAAACTTAATCCCCAACGGGGCAGTATTAAGAAGAATTGGGGCCTTTAAGAGGTGACTGTGTCATGAGGGCTCTCCCCTCATAAATGGATTAATCCATTCATGAATTAATGGGTTATCATGAGATTAGGACTCATAGCTTTATAAGAACAGGAAGACAGGCCGGGTGTGGTGGCTCACGCCTATAATCCTAGCACTTTGGGAGGCTGAGGCGGGCGGATCGTTTGAGCTCAGAAGTTCGAGAGCAAGACCCCATCTCTACTAAAAATAGAAAGAAATTAGCTGGACAACTAAAAATATATTGAAAAAAATTAGCCGGGCATAGTGGCGCATCCCTGTAGTCCCAGCTACTCGCGAGGCTGAGGCAGTAGGATCCCTTGAGCCCAGGAGTTTGAGGTTGCTGTGAGCTAGCCTCACAGCACGGCACTCTAGCCTGGGCAACAGAGTTAGACTGCAGAGTCCCTGCCAGCAAGAAGGCCCTCACCAGATGTGGCCCCTCAACCTTGTCTTTCCCAGCCTCCGTAACTGTAAGAAATAAATTCTTTTTCTTTATAAATTATCCAATTTCAGGTATTCTGTTACAAGAAACAGAAAATGGGCTAAGACTGACACATACACAATGTTGTCTTAATCTACTTTCTAGATAGCCAGAGAGGGCTTTCTGGTAGAAGTAGTAGCCCTTAAGCTCAGCGTTAAAGATTAAAAGAATTATCCATTTGGAGCTCCAGGGACTTTATTTTCACTTAGTCAGCACAATTGGACACCTACTATGCAGCAGGGATTCAGGACATAAAGCTGAATAAATCCACACTACTCTTCTTGAACTTCTCATAGCTTTCAAGGAGATTGAAAGTTTTGCATTACCCAACCCATCCTGAATCAGTCAGTGTTTCTTCCTTGTTAATTCCAGTCCCTCCGACTACAGCTTTAACTACCAAATATTTTTAACAACAACAGAAGAATGACATAAATAAGAGTACCCAATAAAGTAATTTATCTTATTTCTTAATAATTTTAAATACCTGACATTACATATAATGTGCTTATCTGCCTTTGTCTATGTTCCCAGAACAAGCAGTAAGCAAAGAGTAGGTATCAAATACCTCTTGCTGCATAAATGAGAATTTGAAAGGCCTTTACAAACCAAAATTCCCGTTATTCAGTAATATGCAAAAATATTTTTTAAGAAAAATTAATCCAAACAAATTATAAAGTTTTTCTTTCAACAATTGTTCCTCCCTGTAAAGGGTTCTCATTTTGACCCCTTAAGCAGGAATTCATTCCTAAACTGGGTACTGTGTGTGTGATTGGGCACCTATTTACCCAGATTTCTAATTCCTTCTCCCAGGAGAATGTGAGCAACACCACAAACTACATAAGTGTCCAAATATGTAGTCCCATTCCTTAGATCACCTTTTTTTTTTTTTTTTTTTTGAGGCAGAGTCTCACTGTGTTGCCCAGGCTAGAGTGCCGTGGCATCATCCTCACTCACAGCAACCTCAAACTCCTGGGCTCAAGCGATCCTACTGCCTCAGCCTTCCGAGTAGCTGGGACTACAGGCATGTGCCACCATGCCCGGCTAATTTTTTCTATATATTTTTAGTTGTCCAATTCATTTCTTTCTATTTTTAGTAGAGACGGGCTCTCGCTCTTGCTCAGGCTGGTTTCGAACTCCTGAGCTCAAACAATCCGCCCGCCTCGGCCTCCCAGAGAGCTAGGATTACAGGCGTGAGCCACCGCGCCCGGCCCCTTAGATCACCTTTTGAAGGTAGGTTTAGATAATGTTGAAACCATAGTTTGTTTCATTACATATATGAAGA